TAAAGGATGACTTTTTAAGGGTTGCACCTGTGGGTTTGAATATAGGTCTCAGTGCTTCTTTGTTTAGCCACTTGAGGTCAGATTTCCCTTAAATCTACCAATTAGACACCCTGAGCTCTAGCAGTGCTCCAGCATGGCCAGATCTCCTTGCTTTGTAAAACCAGCCTGCTCCCTGATACCCCAGTCTGCTCTTTCAGGAGTCCAGAGCAGTGTCAAACCTTGGTGTCAAATATGCTGGCATTCAGCTATGCTCTGACCTCCAGAAGCATCCTGGGATGGGTCAGAGAAACTGTGCATCAGAATCCCTCCGCTCATCTCCTTCTTCCAAGACTTCATAGTTCCAACATAAGCCAGCAAGAAAGTCTGTTAGCTTTCCAAATGAGCCAGTCAAGTAACAGAAGACTTATTTTAATAGCCCCCACTGCCAAAGCTGCCAGTCCAGCTGTGACAGCTTTAGGGAGGCATCAAGCATGAAGGCCTGTTGGTTGTGTCTGTGAAGAAGGAGTGTGAAGAAGAGGAAGTGAATCAGCACAAAAGTCTCCAGTCTTGGGGTTGCTCTTAGGTGTTCACTTTCACTGCTGCTGCTCCAAACCCTATGCTTTCCTCAGCCTCAGACTTGACAGGCTTTATAGTTAGCCCCAAATTTATGATGGCCTTTCGGGCGTTCCTGATAGCTTCCTGGCCATGAAGCCATTCCTTTGGCTCCAGGACCTTTTCTAGACAAGCTGGTAGGTACCAGGGAGTAAATCTGCCCTACAACAGCCACTCTCTGATGCTCTCAGACTAAAAAACTTTGCTATGTCCAAAAGTCCCGAAATCATGAGTCACAGCCTCTGAAGCATAAGACTAAGGAAAAAAGTCCACTGGTACAGGGTGATTTTGCAGTCTATCTTTCACCTGTGAATTTCCTTTATCTACTGTATCTGACAGGAAGTTTACCTGCTTTTAGATGTGTTGAATAAGATTGTTTTAAACCCTGCAGCAGGACCTTTCTTTTACACATTTCTCTCTTACCCATCTGTCATTCTTGTCTTCTGAGCAGTCTCTCACCAGGTACTATAACACACACAATTTATGGAAGGACCACTATTTTAAGTCGGGTCCTTTGTCAACCCTGAATTATAACAATTCATTGCTCATTTTAGCAAAATAGTACATTTAGTTGTACATTGTGGGAAGGGGAAAGTGGATGTGTGGATCTACATAAATGCCCACACATGGGTATTTAAAATCTCTAGTTGCTGAGAGATCTTCTCTATGAATCAGAAGATTAATCAAACACCTTCCTCTCATCAGAAATGATTGCTGACTTCCCCTCCTGAAAGGCAGATGATGAATATATTCTATCTCCCAGCAGATATGTTTTTATGTAAGATTTATTGTATCTGCAGTATAGAGTTAAATATTAAAGCTGTATACCTAATCCCAAGGTCTTGCTGCTTCCTTACAGCAGCTAATTTCAGCCTACAAATGCTCCATAACTTGTTTTAAGCAGGAGGCTGCCTAGATGTCTTTCTTGTTTCTTGAGAGTCTTCTCCACTGCTGCAGCAGCCAGGGAGCATTCAAAAGAGGATAAAACTCAAGCAGAAGTCTAGCAAATACAAGAAACTTACCACTCTCAGGAATCATGTGGAATTTTTGTTTTTCCTGACTAAGCATTTAATCTGCTTTGTACCATGTTTATTTGTCTCTACATTCAAATCCCATCAGCGGTTTGTTTCCAATCACGCTAGCATGAAGGTAGATATTTTAAGATGGAGTTGTGCTCAGGCTGGATTCCCAGTATAGTTCTATAACTTTAATCTACCCTTTTTTCTCTACAGAGTTTAGAAACAAAATATTTTCAAAATTATATATTGTATTCTATTATTCGAGTTTCAAAATGCATTGCTTCAAATCCCACTATCTTTTGTGTGTCTGCTGGGTAGACTAAGAAGAGCCATTGTTGCTTTTCCTTTGTATGCTGAGACTTCCTTATAGGAGTGGCTTCATCTACTAATTTGTTTATTTCTAATGGAAAAACAAACAATTTCAATCACAGAAACAAAAAAGCCAATTCACTGACTTGCTGGGCTAACGGGTCATAATCTATTTTTATTCACAAAGATACCACAAATATTTTTCATACATTCAAGATCAGCAGAGCAAATAATCCACAGCAAATTTCTCACTTTCTATTAAAGTTAACAGACACAAGTGCTAGTGGCCAGAAAGTTTAATTGTCCATAAATTTCACAGGCAAGTAATGTAGGTTCTGCATAAGAAGAAAATCCCAGGTTCATAAGAGGGGTGATATTGCTGGTGATGAGTACTTTGTAGGTGGTGTATCTCTCATATCTGGGAATTGATGTCTTACAGTACTAGATTTGAGGGGTCAGACTGACATCATGTTAGCACTCGTGTGAAATACTTACAATACTGCATGCTACTAAGGAAAGCACACAAAACCCCTAGGGAGAAACTCAGATCTAGTTTCATTGTGGGTTAATTTATGCTTCAAAATATGTAAATTGTTGCCCTTTCCAAACACTGGGGATGGAAGGAAGGTGTGAAAATATGGTTCATTTTTATCTTAACCATTATAAGCATGGAGCTTTTAAAAATTATTCCTAATACCCACACAAACCTCTCAAAACTTTCAGCTCTAACAATAATCCTTGGCATAGAAGGATGATCAGAAAATTATAGGAGGATGAAAAATATATTAAATAATATGTTGCACTGATGTAGTTACACTCATGTTATGGATTTCACTGTATCTTTTTTCTCTTCTGTCCCCCTGTATCTCAGGTGAATCCACCCAAAGACTTTCAACCAGCTCTCTGTTCAGATACTGTTCTTTTTTTGATTTCTCCCTCTTTTCCATGCAACTATATCTTCAGTTTTCTACTTCTCCTAATAGGGGTAGTTTTATCACTGCAACTTCTCTATTGGAAATTGAAACAGTTTTTCATTAGCAGTTTATAGACAAATGAAGGCAAAAAAACCAAACAAAAAAAACCAAAAAAAGCCTTTTGCTTTCCCCCTTGTTTTCACTTCCCTTTTTACCCCTCAGTGTTAGTGAAAACACTTCAGCCTCTTGAGGGAAGACCAGATATTATTGCAATTGGCCCAAATGAGCAGCAAGACCCATCAGTCAAGTCTCTGCACCTCCCAGGACCCTTTTCTGCTTCATTTAGGGACCAGACTCCAGGAAAGATCTTTACATTCACTCTGAAGTTATAAGCTCTAAGCTGACACACTCACGAAAGTCCACAGACTTTTCAAACTTAGCAGTGGCATTTCAAGGCAAAAGAACTGAAGAGAGTGATGTGGCTAGAGCTGCTGCCCACCTCCATGTGACCCAAATGGCCAGCTGCTTCAACCAATCACTAAAACTGCTCATCACAAATATTAGCAGAAAATGAACCCTGAAATGGTAGGTCGTTGTTGTTTTAATTAGCTGTGTAATTATTATTATTATTTATTTGAATGAGTATCTCAGACGCAGGATAGCCTTCTCCAGTCCTGCACCAGTGTGGGTGCAACCAACGACAGAGTGCTCACAGATAACCAGCTGCCTCTTTAGATAAAGCAGTTATGAATGCTTAGATAAAACAGTTACGAATGCTCTATTTGAGAGATGTGGGAATACATCCATCATGGCCCAGCCACCACAGAAGACAGAACTTGCAATCTTCTGATCTGAGCCAAATATCAACACAGCAAACTCTAAAGGCCTGAGGAGAAGATAAAAGTGTGTGTTCAGTCACAGAGTGGTAACGTCACAGGGAGAAGTTTCATAAACAGTCAGCTGAGTGCCGCTTTCTGGTATTTAGTTTGATGAGGAAACCTCCTGCAGGCCTCAGGAGCTGAGCAGAGAGAAGTGAAGCTCAGAAGTCGGGCTAGATGCAGTGGCCAGGGCCAGAAGACTCTTCACTGGGCAGGGAGAGAGCTAGGAGAAGGTGTGATAGGGGAGCAAATGGATGACCCCCTCTCCCCCTTCCAGATACGAGGCTGGGACATATTCCTGGATCCTTCCCAGGCTCCGGAGCTGACAGGCCAGACCTTCAGGAGAGTCATTCAGCTCATGCTTTTTTTCTCCAAGTGTAAATTCACACCTATGGCTGCACTTTGTCAGCTGGGGCTTTGAGCTTCGCAGCCAACAATCATTTAAGCATGAAGGTCTCTGCAGCTCAGCCTCTGCCATGTGCCTTAGGCTGTATGCCAAAAGCCAAGGAAAGAAGAGCATGCTCCAAGCAGGCAGCTTAAAAAGCCACAAGCATCTCCTTCCTGACGCTCACTCATGGGTGCTAAGCACAGGAAGGAGACTTGGAGCAAAGATGGAAGGAAGGAGGTAACAGAAGGAGGCAAGAGAAAGAAACATTGGGAACCATGTGTCTACAGAAAAACTTTTCTACCACTTCCTTCCTGCCCCGCACCATTGTCAGCTGCACTGGGGGAAGCATGCCTTCACACAACAAGCACAAACAGCAGGCACAGGCACTGCAGAAAAGAGAATATGAAGACAAACACAGGGTTAAGGGACATATGCAAAGCCTGGGAGAGGGGGAAAAAACAAACCTTCAACCACTCTTGACGGCTTTTTTCTTAAGGTGCCTGGCATAGACAGCCGCTGAGATGGCGTGTAACTGTGCGGTGTCCCTGACACCAGCTGCCTCATGTACAAGTTGTAGTCACCTGCTGTGCTTTACCATAGAAGAGGTCTTCAAGACCTCTATGGTATGCAGGTGTACAGCAGCTCTCACATTGGTCAAGCTCTCACATGCCACATCCCAGAAGATGTTTGGGCAGAGAACTACTGCTGGCCCTGAAATCAAGAACCCTTTTTTATCCCCCCTACACAGTAGCTCAGTAGGTGGCCCGGAGCGCCTGTCCCCAAGACAAGCATCCCACTTGTTCCCCTGGTGCCCTGTTGGCACCTAAGGGACTGTAACCTTTATTGACATACTTTTACCTGATGCAAATGCTAACTTTTCGTCTTGTCTTCTGATTCTCAGGAAACACCAGCCAGAAAAAGAATAATGGAAAATTGTACAGACACAAATAAGAGCTCCATTTGCACAGGAATTCCCTACAAAGACAGCAAGACACTTCTGGTTGCTGTTTACAGCATTGTTTTTGCCATAGGCCTTCCAGCAAATTGCTTAACTTCCCTGCTTACATTCATACAAATCCAAAGGAATAAAGTAATTGCCATCTACATTTTCAGTTTATCATTGTCTGAGCTGACGTATTTAAGTACCTTGCCTCTCTGGATTCTCTATGTGCAAGATGATCACCAGTGGACTATGGGTGAAAAAGCTTGCAGAGTAACAGGATTCATCTTTTTCTGCAACATATACATCAGCATTCTGCTTTTGTGCTGCATTTCTGTGGATCGTTATGTGGCACTGGTGTATGCTCTGGAATCAAGGGGGAGAAGAGGACAGAAAAAGGCAATCATAATAGTGTTTTTTCTCTTTGCTGTGGTTACAATAATCTATGTTCCAGTATTTTACATGGAAGATAATCCAGGTAGTAAGACCTGCTTTGAGACTTTGCCCCTTGACATAAAACTGGCTTCTTTCAGCTTTGCTAGATTCTTATTTGGATTTGCCATACCTTTCACAATCCTCATTTTCACAAACTATAAAATTTTCCAAAGTACTAAAACAAGCAGCAGCTTGACTTGTCGGCAAAAAGCCAAAGTGAAGTATCTGGCTATTGCCATCATTATCATTTTCCTGATGTGTTTTGCTCCCTACCATGTGGTACTGATAATAAGATCCATATACTTCATGTTTCATCAAAATTGCTCATGTCCATTTGAAGAAGACATCTATTCAGTTTTTACAGTATTTCTGTGTTTAGCCACTGCAAACAGCATTGCTGATCCAATCATCTATGTGCTGGTTAGTGAAAACGTCAGAAAAGACTTTTATAGGAGTCTGAGAAGATGGAGATTGAACTCATCCAGGCTAAATTCATCCATTAATCACAAGAGCGACAGCATAAAATGGAAAATGTCAAAAGAATCACAGGAAGGAGGGGTAAGAGAAGAAAAAAACAAAGAAATAACAGATTCATCTGACATTCAGAAAACCTGCAATAGTGGCAAAGACCAAGAAGGTGGAAGCTAGCAGTTAGCTCCTGGCACAAATAAGTTGTTCCCAACACCAGCTGCAGGATGCACACTGCAACACGCAACTTACATGCTGATGTCCGTAGGAAGTTTTGCCACAGCACATAGACTAGCAGCTCCTTGAGGATGCTATGGAAGAGATACTTCTTATTTCTGCTTGTCTCCTACAATAAGGTTTGCCCACCAGTATCATTGGTGAAAACATTGCTTTGCTAAGGACATGTGGAATAAACAACATAATTTACTTTGACTCACACTGAAATCTTAAAAACTTATTTTGGGTCTGGTTCTTATTCATATGAATACAGAACCAGTTTTATCTTCTCAGCTGGACCAAAAAATATACCTGCTGAGGAGAACATGTAAGGCCCATTTCTGTGGTTGAAATGTTTAGTTCTTGAGGAGGTACATATTCAGATTCTCGTACACATACTCTGTTGTTAACGTTTGTGGTTAACCAGTGGAAAATATTAAAACTGAGGAAGTCTTTCAACAAGAGCCTTGAAAACATTCCTAATACTTCAGTAGGCAGCTTTATCTACCTTGCACATTCTGGGAAGAATTAGAGGGCAAAACAGTGGCCTGGTAACACAGAACAACAGTACTTCTGTATTAGTCAAGATCCTGCACTGTCCTGAAAGTCTTAAAATGTACAGTTCTAATGCTTGATATTTTATGATTAGTAAACTTTTTGCAGTTAAATCTAGAATGCACAGAAGTACATAGAAAATTTTCACATTTCTAAGTGGAGTCAGGGACTTTTTACGTCAGTTCCAAACATTTGTTGAACTTGTGTTTCATTTCTGCTTAATCTTTCATTTCTGGCTTCCCTTTTGGTATTGATCCAACTTTTGCTGTGTAGAAGTCTGCACAAGAGTTAAGTGCCTTACTGACAAGGAAGGGCTGGCAGCATGGAGAACAGTCCCATTGCCCCAGAGAGGGAACTCCCTCAAACACACTGCTGGTGCACACATGACACTATGCTGGGGCAGATTGTGTTGTTGCTGCTGTCACTTTCACCATGAATAAATTATTGATAGTAGTTTCCTGTGCCTTGAAACCACAATTTAAAAAATAGGAATGATACAAAACTGGCAAGATCCATCTAAACAGCTTCTTCATATTTTCATGACATCAAAGTAAAACAGACAAAAATCATGAATCAATTGCATGTTTATTTGAGTACAAGTTTGTAAAGTGTTTTACAGCATCATTCTATCTGTAATGTTTTATTTCTGTAATATTTTAAAATTCTTATTAGTGTTCAAACTTCTGCATTAATATTAACCAATGTTAATGTAAACAGAATACTTGTTAATATGTTAAAATTGTCATAGATATTTCTATAGATTATGCTTTATTCTTATACACTTTTGGGAAAAAGCATTGTGCTAAAATGGCATTTCCTCCAGTTATTATATTTATGACATGTTTAATTTTTGCATTATTTAATTACTCCTCTTGCATCTACCTACGAAATTCTTGTGTCCGCAGATGTAGTTCACATAATATTTACTAAGAGATTGTTTCTTGGAAAAATGTAAAATTCTGCTGTGATGCTAATTAACGAATTCAGTTTTTCTCTTTTCACATGCATCCCAGAGATCAAACTCTCTAAGGTATCAAGGAGAGATCTACAAAGTGCTGAATAGCTGCAACTTTTCTGAAAATCAAACTTTCCGTTGCTGAAAATCAAACTTTTTTTTGTTAAAAAATTCAGCAGCAAGCATTGCTTGTAACAGCTCCAGTGAGCTCTGGTGATTAATCTTTGGAGACACATATGCAAACTGCCTTAACCTCTGGATTTTCATAGTCAAAATGTAAACTTTGATGAATAATAGTGGTGAATTTACAAGAAACCAAAGGTACAGACTTCTGAACTAATTGAAATGATGCACATTGAATATTCACCTCAATTAATTTAGAAATCTCTGTGATGTTTTTCCTCTGATATAAAATGAGTATCTTCAGAGTAATCACTATTGGAGCCCCAGGCCAGAGATGCGGGGGACAGGGATTAGAAGGGCCTGATGCAGAGTCTGTAATTCTTTTGTGTTGCCTAATTTATACGCTGTTCTCAATTACTATGTCATTATGCATCTTCTCTTAACAAAAATCCTTGGAGCTTGTTTGTTCAGATGCACTCTGAAACAAAATTCTTAGAAGTGACAAAGCCCTGAGCAGCCTGATCTAACTTGGATCATCTAATTAGATGATCTCCAGAGGTGCTTTCTAAAGTAAAATATTCTGTGTCAGGTTACTGCAGGGATTAGGAGTCAGGTACCAAGCAATGTATCCACAAGGGAAAGCTCCAAATCCTCACTTTTTTGGATAGACGGAAAAGCAGCTTTACATCTGAGTGATGACATTGAGAAATGCTATTGCATTGTTAAAATATCCCATCAGATGAACCAACTGTTTCTCATCTGATGAATTCAAACATGTGATCTGTTCTGTCACATAGTATCTGACTGTGCCTTACTGGCAAAGGAAAGGCCTCAGCACAGGGACACATGCTAGAGACGCAGCAAAGGACACTACTCAGGTCTGAGCAGATCTGAAGGGTGGATTGATCGTGTGGGTCTTTCCATCCTTTTCTCCTGCAGAACATTACCAGTGAGAATGCAAGGACTCCTTTGTGCTATAAAGAAAGGTTCACCTACTACATCATATCTGCAGTTTTCAACACAGCTACTTGGATCTGTCCCCTGACTTACTCATAGAATCAAAGAATAGTTAGGGTTGGAAAGGGCCTTACCATCATCCAGTTCCAACCCCCCTGCCATGGGTAGAGACACCTCCCACTGCACCCTGCTACCCGAGGCTCTGTCCAAACTGGTCCGGAATACCACCAGGGATGGAGCATTCACAACCTCCCTGGGCAACCTATTCCAGTGCCTCGCCACCCTTACAGTAAAGAATTTCCTCATTATGTCCAATCTAAACTTCCCCTGTTTAAGTTTTAACCCGTTACCCCTTGTCCTATCACTACAGTCCCTAATGAAGAGTCCTTCCCCAGCGTCCCTATAAACCCCCTTCAGATACTGGAAGGCTGCTATGAGCCCCTCGGTGGCTGCAGGGCACCTGGTCTGGTGCTGCAATCAGGCACAGCCTTAGCTTTCCTAATCTGGTCCCTAGCTTCCCGAACAACATCCCTTTATTCTTCCCAAGCCACCTGTCCTTACTTCCACCTTTTATAAGCCTCTTTTTTCCTTCAAATTTTCCTCAGCAGCTCCTTATCCACCCAGGGAGGTCTCCTGGCCCTCCTGCTGCACTTCCTTCTGGTTGGGATGCGACACTCCTGAGCTTGCAGTAGGTGATCCCTGAGTATCAGAAAACATTCTTGGGCCCCCCTGCCCTCTAGGGCTATATCCCATGGAACCTTCCTAAGCAGGTTCCTGAAGAGGCCAAAGTCTGCTCTCTTGAAGCCCAGGGCAGTGAGCTTGCTGCACGCTCTTCTCACCGTCCTGAGGATCTCGAATTCGATCATCTCGTGATCGCTGCAATCAAGGTGCGGAGCTGTTGCAGACCCCTCCTGAAGCAGGCAGCCCTGGACACACGCTGCTGGCACCACATCTTGTGCTGCCCTCGCAGCCTTCGCTGCGCATGGGGCGCAGGTTCTCGCACGGGCTCACCCGTGATGGGCACGGCTGGAGGACGTGGCTGGGCAGGGCTGAATCCCAGCCCCATGGACACATCCCAACTGCAGCACATGAGCACTGCTCAGGTCGCTCACTGACTGCTTGTGCGACAGGGAGGGAGCACAGGAGATGGCCCTGGCACATCTGGAGTTGGCCAGCGCAGCATTCAAACATTTTATTGATTATTTAAGCACCAAAGTGTGTCTCTGTCGTCTCAGGGGGTCACGTAACGATTGCCCAATGTCCCCCGTGAAGCTGCAGCCCCTTCAGGGCTCGTCCCCATCCCCTGCTCACAGCAGTCCTGGAATTCTGGGGTGATGTCACAGCCCACGTCACAGCGGCAACTGCCCGTGTCCAGACAACAGCACAAACCTTCACCCCTGACCCCACACTTTTCCCCTGCGCGCTCCATCCCTTCTGCCCTGTTCCTGCTCTGCCCTTCTGCCCTACTCCCAGCCCTTTTCATTTGTTCCCATCCCTACTGCCCTGTTCCCTGCCCCTCGGGCACTGTATCTGAGCCAGCAAATGCAGACCCAAGTGGGGCTGGGCGAGGAGGCAATGGATGTGGACATGAAGGGGAGGAACCAATGGATGTGGACATGAAGGTGGAGGAGGACAAACTGATGGAGGTGGACGAACTGATGGAGGTGGATGTGGAGGGGATGGATACCAGCTGACGAGTGGCAAGGCAGCACGTGCCCCCCATCCACTGCTGGCAGTCAGGGTGGGCTGGCTGCTGCCGCGCTGGGGCTGGGGCTGTGTGTGACGTCCCCGCCGCAGGGACACGGTGCCCGGTGGCCTCATCCTGGCGGCACAAGCGCCACCACCGCGCTGCCCTGCGCTGCCTTCGGGACACTGGAGCCGAGTGTGATCACGTAGGGGCTGGCTCCCAGCCCCCCGCGGCAGAGTCCCGCTCTCCCCAGCGCGTGGCAAACACAATGACCATCAGTAGCCTCACTGAAATGACCTTGTGCTGCTTGTTTCCAGGGCTGGCTGACAGGGGAGTTTTCATGCTGTTTGAAGTTTTCCTTCAAAGAGTTCCTGTTTTCCTTGAAGATTGCTGTTTTTTAAGAAGATTGTTCGTTTTCCATTAGGAGTTGTAGGTTTAGGTAGAATAGGTGTAGTTTTAGGAATAAGAGTTGTTCTTTTAGGTAGAATAGTTGTAGTTTTAGGCAGAAGAGTTGTGTCAGACATTCATAACATACCTGGGAGATAACTGGATTGCTGGTTATTTTAAGTGTGACTATGAAGCATGAAGTGAATAATTTCTGCCAATGAACTACAGCTGGCCAAACTAGGTTTTGCAGACAATATATCTGCTTTATTTGTTTATTCATCAATTTTATATTATTTCTAAAGAATCCATTTTTTAAGTAATTGTTTTGAATAACTCACTTATAAAACTCTATTCCTGCCTAAGAAATGTTTTCGTGTTCAGCACTGAATTCTACTTAAGGAGGATAGTTACACAAAACAGGCAAAACCAGATACAAATGAACTAAGGCTCTCTATGCATGACAAAGTTTCTTCTACAGTTGGTGGCCCTGTAGCTGATCTTGTTTATTCTCTGATATCGTGTACAACCCCATGCCAAATTTCTGTTGGCTGGTGAGTGATGAAACCTAACTCAGAATGAGGCTTTCAAAAACATCCACAGTCTAAAGGCTTTTCTTTGTGAGCATGCTGCCATCCTACAGGTCACCCTGGGAAATAATCTTTTAGGAAACATCCTTTATATAATGAAATTATGCCAAAGTTGTCTCACAGGCCAGAATACCTGTCCTGTTTTCAAACCAGCACAAGCCAAAGGTAGCAAATAAGGGTAGGGGGGATTGCATCAGAGAGGTGAAATCATGTTTTTAACCTCTTTGCTGCGCAGGCAAGCATACAGGTGGCAGCATCCCCAGAGATGGATCTTCCAGCATGCCTTCTGCAACTAGTGTCTAGAGGATGTGATACCTACCAGTGCTCTCTCCATCTCATCCCGCGGTGCTCCTTTTCTCCTGCACAATTAACCTTTCCACAGGAGAGGGCGCTTCTCACGATCTATTTCCACCAGGGGTGACGCATGGCCTAATCATGCAATCTTCAAGTGAAAGGAAAATGAACCATAAAAAAGAGAAATCTGTTACCCCAGATTAGACTATTATTAATAACAGATGTTAGTTGCTGTCATTATGAGCCATTGGTAAGAAAAAGTAGGACTCTAAATTCACTGTCTCATCAGTAATTCAGATCACTGAAAAAACTTTTAGGGTTTTAACCCTCCTATTCCTGTAAGAAATGCTCAGAGATAACAAATCAAAAACCAGCCTTGCAGACAGATGGAAAGTCTGCTGAGGAGAGATGATAAGCTATGTGGTAAGAAATTCACGAAACATCACATGAAAATCATCTACATGAGCAGCCTCAAAATAAGCCTTCTCGGTACGCCAAGAAATGATCCATCCTGTTCCACAGCCTCAGTCTGTGACAGGGCCCATGCATTTCAGCCCATGATCACAGAGAATCCCCTGCATGTTCAAAGGTCTGTCTTGAAATATTTTGATGAGGGAGGTGAAGAATCAAATTGAAGAGAGGTACTGTGGGAAAAGCATGTTGTATGATACACAAAGTTCTGAAAAGCCTTGTAAACACTAAGTTGCAGATGTTCTGAATGAGTGTGCAAATATTCGAGTGTTCAGAAAGTTACTTAGAAATGCCCCAGCTGTATCACAGTTCCCCATCTGTAAAATGGGACACTTCCTCCCTTGAGCATTGTCTGTCTTCTCGGTTTAAAATACAAGCCTTTGCAGAAGATACTAGAAAGAGTGAGCAGGTGTGTCATGTGCATATTCAGAGCTTACTGCAATGGAGCAATGAATGGCATGGAGGCAAATAGTACTAAACCTCAAATTCTAATGCGTCTGCACTTTCAGGGGC